TATAAATTTATTTCAAACATAGTTTGTGAAGGTTCTAAAAGCTTATCCCCTACCCTTATTACCCCCTCACAGAGATAACCAATCCCCTTACCACCCCCTTTTTAAGTAGTTTTTCCTAGTAATTATCTCCTCATCTATAAAGAAAATGCTTATACATATCTCTCTTGATTTAAATAATTTTGGACATAATGTATTTATTTTCTACATGTAAGGTGAGGATTTAGCGCATTCACATACACATGCACATGCATGCCTGCATATGCCCATCTGTACCCCTTCTCCTCTTGCCTTTTCCCCATCACAGTTTTGGCTGCATCATTGGGTAGCATTTGCTGCTGACTATAAGGGTATTATTCATTGCTGAGCCCAGTTCAGTCTTCCTTTCTTATATATTTGCTTAGTTTTCTATTTAATGGTTACTAGTTTTTTTCCAAATGATCTATCAGGTACATATAATTTTTTTTACCTTTGTTCTCTTTACTCAAATTTCAGCCTTTGACACCTATCTTGCTCTCTTTATCCTTGTTTGTGGGTTTATACCCTTTTTACTCCTTAATCATTAATTTTTAAAAAAGTATACTTTATTGATTTTTTTACAAAGAGGAAGAGAGAGGGATAGAGAGAAACATCGATGAGAGAGAAACATCAATCAGCTGCCTCCTACATACCCCCTACTGGGGATGTGCCCGCAACCACTGTCACTGCTGGAAGTCAACACTATTTTGGTTTTTGTTTGTTTTCTTTTTTTCTTAACACTATTTTAAACAGAATACATTCCTGGCTTTATCATGAAAGTCATTGGGAGGGGAAAAAAGCATAGTTATTTTGCAGAGTTGATTGCCTTTTTTATTGTATAAAGTACTTTTAATAATATTTTACATTAGTTTGCCTATATCCTTTGTGTTGCCCTAAAACACATCAGAATGCTTTCATGAACTCTTGCCAGTTTGTTTTACCTTTACCTACTATGTATCTTATCAGTTATACCTCATCTTGAAATGCATGGCTGTTTTCCTAGGAATCAGAGCAGGAGCAGCTATCTCTCACACAATCATTTGCGTCTGATTGCCAAAGGGATTGGTGTGTCATGTTTCCTTGAAACCTCTGCTGACCCAGAAATTACCTCATTTTCACATTACAAAGGAATTATCAAGTGTGAGAGGTCAAGGTTCATGTGAAGGTTATGGCCATGTTTCCTCCCTTGTCAAAATTCAGAAAACTTTTCAAATAAGAAAACAAAAACAGCCACACAAGATTTCATCCCTTTAAATTGTTATACAGTCTTAACCATCATATACAATTCTCTGCACTGCTTGATGTAATAGTGAGGAGGGAACTGCCTGTGTTCCCCATGGATTTGTAAACTCATAGGTGGCAACCGTATCCTAGAAGGTAAAACTCAAACAGAGGGTCATTTGGCAGCAGTCTGCGGAGCAGGCCAGCAGGAAGATAAACAATTGCTACTGTGGGAAGCAAGGAAACTACTTTGCTATTGGCAACCTTTTTATGCAAGATTGGGAGAATTCATAACTCCCTGGTAGGAAAAGTAAAAAAACAAATCTGAAATTCAATAAAAATGTATGTGAAGAAGACTGTGTTAGGATTACTTTGGTTGAAAAAAATCAAACTGACATACGCATAGAGGGTATTTATTGCCTTATGTATCCAAAGATTCAGGCCGGTAGGAGTACAGTCGGATCCAGGGGCTCAAAGTATGCAATTGGGTCTCTTCCTTTTCTCCTTCCGGCTCTTGGCTTGACCCTCTTAGATGTTGGCACCATTTTTGGGTGGGCTTTCTCCACAGGGTGGCCACTGGCAGCTTCCGGCTCTTAACTTCAACAGGAAAGAAAGTAGAAAGAACTTATCTTTCCCAGTAGTTCTAATGTGGGCTCCAGGATTGAATCGCATTGCCCATTCCTGAACCATTCATAGTGGTGGGGATGCGATGGAATATCCTAACTGGCCAGCCTGGGACATGAGTTCACACAGGAGGGAGAGAAAGTAGGATGTTAGCTGCACTCAAACCACTTGGGCTGAGAGGGGAGCTTCGAGAAGGGATACTTATCTCAGAGGAACACGAGTGCTGTTAGCAGGAGAGTGAGTAGATGCTCTGTGCAACCAAAGATGCCTGCTACCGAGAGGAAAGCAAGAGCTCATTTTGAAGTATATGGAAGGATAACATGCTCATAGAAGTAAACAAACTGTTCCCTGCCAAAGATTAATGAGAGAAAATAGGCATAAACTGCAGTCGGAGGGATTTTAGTAATACATATGCTTTAGAGAAGCTAGATATATATAAAAGATTTATAAGCCAAATTCCACTTTCCCACTGATTTCCATTATAAAGTCCCGACCTATATTTCCAAAAGGAAGCAAATTTACCAAGTTTTTTAGTTGGGAATTTCTGATGGAAAACTAGTTATGAGAGCAACAGATCTATAATATGTACTGGGCCTTGTAACATATTAGCTATACAGCATCTACCAGAATTGCAGTTACCAGCCACCAATTCACTTTTTCTTTGGGGTTCTTTCAGAACTGGGAAGATTTTTTATTTCTCTTTCTTGGTAAACAATTGGTTTATCCTTTTCTTAAGCCACAGACCTTTTTCCTCTGCTTAGGTGTTTCTCATTCCACCTTGGACCTCTAAGAAGTTGTCCATTTTTTTACATAATAGAACTAACTACAAATGCTAGGTCACATTTTGCCAATAGGGAAGTAATCTAATTCAGGTTCTGCCACAGCCTGAAACTCCCTTAAGAGCAGTACTTCTGTTTGTATAAAATTGGAGGCCACATAAAGAGAGCTATGGATTAGGACCACCTGCAGAGACTTCCCAGGCTTTTCCCAAAGCAATGAAAAGGTAGGAATGGGGAGGGCAGAAAAGAGGATGGGCAGACAGGTACAGCCCATAGCAGTTGCTCCGCCTTTGTGTATATCTGATTTATAAGAGAATGGAATCACTATCTGTAACATAGAAAACAGTATGTAGACTTTGCCTGCAAGATTGTCAAGCTTAAACAGGAGAATGGTTTAACTCAGGTAAAAAATAATTATAGATTTCTCAAACATTTATATTACTCCTTCCCCATCTTCTCTTTCTTAATTCCTAAAATTTATATCAAGACTCTGTCTTTGAGCTCTTTTGTTCATTCATTCATTTAACAAATAGTTATTGAGCACCTGCTATGTGCTGACACTCTTCTAGGCATTTAAACTATAGCAGGGAATAAAACAAGTCCTTGACTTTGTAGAGTTCACATTTTGAGGAGGAGAGCAGTCAATAAATAAGCAATATATAACATGTCAGGTAATATTAAGTGCTGAGAAGAAAAATGAAGCAGGCTGAGTGGGGTGAGCAGAGGGAAAAGTAAGGCAGTCAGTCTATTCTAAGAACAGCAAGGAGTCCAGAGTTGCTGGACTATAGGGAGCAAAGGAGAGTATGGTAAAAGAGGTCAGAGAGAAAGCAAAGGCAGGTGGGGATTGGGAGCTGCCCATATTTAGGGGAGAAGAGAAACTGTTGAGGGATTTGGACAGAAGAATGATGGGACCTGTTTTTTTAAAAAAATCTTTCTTTAAAATATATTTTTATTGATTTCAGAGAGGAAGGTAGAGGGAGCAAAAGATAGAAACGTCAATGATGAGAGTTCTCATTGATCAGCTGCCTCCTGCACGCCCCCCACTGGGGATTGAGCCCACAACCCGGGTACTCCATCCACTGAGCCAACCGGCTAGGGCCCTGTCTATGTTTTAACCAGGAAGTTCCAGCTGCAGTTAGGGAATAGGGTAGAAGCAGGGTGACTGATTAGGAGATCATTGAAAAACACCAGGCCAGAGATGATGGACCATCATCTGAGACTGAGGAGGAGGTAGTGAGAAGCATCTTCATCCTGGGTATATTTTGAAATTTCATGTTTTCTTCCTTTGTTTGTTTTTTCTTTTTCCTCTTCTTTTTATTAAAATATATTTTATTGATTTTTTACAGAGAGGAAGGGAGAGGGATAGAGAGTTAGAAACATCGATGAGAGAGAAACATCGATCAGCTGCCTCCTGCACACTCCCTACTGGGATGTGCCCACAACCAAGGTACATGCCCTTTACCGGAATCGAACCTGGGACCCTTCAGTCCACAGGCCGACGCTCTATCCACTGAGCCAAACCAGTCAGGGACCTCACTATTCTTTAGACGTTATATAACCTTTTCCACCACCCACCCACCCAACCGCAGTGATGGAATTTGTATTTATATGCTTTGAGACCAGGAGCTTTATTTCTGGTCCTGTCTTAGGTCTCTTCCTCTTGCCACACCTCTAGAGTTTGTTTGATATGGAGCTGGGCACAGATATGATAACACTGCTGCAGACACACGTTTGGGAGGTACTGGCATGATGGGAGAAGGGGTCAGCAAGTCCTAGGAATTGGGGGGGGGGGGTCAAGAGCAGGAACTTCGCTATTTCTGATCAGGGAACTCAGCCATAGCATATATCTACTATTGACTGTGCCCAGAATCTCTGAAGGTATTTCTTGTGGAAACTGCTCTCACTGCTGACATTTTACAGAGAGAACTCATACTGGAATGGAGAACTGCAGCAGAGACAGGAATCACTGCTGTGCTTCAGGCAGGGACAATAGTAGTCATAGAACCTTAAAGTCCAGAATCAGGATTGTAGAAGGCATTTAATCCAGTCTTCTCCTGCTGTTGTGTGAACCCCTACCATGATTGCAGTCATCTAGCCTCTGCTTCAAGATTCTATAACTCATAAATCATGGAATGTCAGTACTGGAAGTGATCTTAGAAATTATATAGGGCTGGGACTAGAACTCCCAGCCCCATGTTCTTTCCACTCACTGTCTTGTCACTCCAAATAAAGGGCAGCCCTTGCTGAGAATTACAGAGGTGGGTTTAAATGCCTTAGTGTTCAGCCCATCGCAGACTGTCTGGGTTTATTTGCCTTTCAGTCCTAAAAAGTAATGAATTTTCTTTTTATTTTCAACTTCAGGGATTACCCTGCTCTCAGATGCGTACCCGGAGAAAATCTTGATTGGCCTGTTGGCTCAGTATGACAGCAGCAAAGACAAGCATACGCCGGAGACCAGAATGAAAGTCGGGGAAGTCCTGATGCGAATTGTGAGGGCATTAGGTGAGTTTTCTTGTTCCATCCTTCTGAAACAGTGGGGGAACAGTCTGGCTTTGGAGACTTAGTATGTCCACTGTGAAGGTAGGGATGTTCCTAAACATCTTGCAATGGCCAGGACAGCTCTCTACAACAAAGAATGATCTGGCCCCAATTGTCAAGAAGGCCCCTTTGGATAGATCCTGTTCTAGGGCTCATGTGAGCATTTTGTTTCTGCTTTAACATCACTCAGATGTGTTAGTTAAGTCCAGGACTGCCATTGACAGCTATTCAGGTTGTTCACAGCTGTAAAAACTCTAAGAGGCATCATTGTATGAACGGCATGCCCTGGAGTTGTACAATACGCAACCTGTGTGATCATCCTAGTGGCCTTGACACATCTCAGTTATAATTAAGATTGCCATCTCCCCGGACAGAGTTTGAAAGTTATTCATTCCCTTCTGTAATATATTTACAAATCCTTTTGGATATGGAAGCTTCTGCATGTGGCTAATCTTATGAGCATACTTTTTTAGTGAATAGCCTTTTTGATCCTATCTGCTAAATATGGGAGTGTGTCCTCATTAGAGCCTGTGGCCACCTTATAGGTGATTATGTATGCCTCCTACACTTTTTTTGGCCTTCTTTTTACATTTAATAGACCATAATATGAATAAAGTATATTTTTAAATTATCTTCACATCAATTTTTTCAGAGATGTAAGTTTAAAATCTATTTATAGATCTTATCCCTCTTAATTGTAGCTGTAATACATGGTAGTTTTGGGAAATTTGGAAAATATTTTTAAAGTATTTTTAAAAAACAAAGTAATCACTGATAATCTCATAATTCGGAAATAACCACTTTTTGTTTACATTTTGATCTTTCCTTTTTTTCTCGGAACTCTAATTATACTGTGTATATCCTGCATTTTTTCATTTAACATCATCAGCACTTTTGTATGTCATTTAATATTTCTTGAAAATATAAGTATATTGGTTGTATTATATAATCAGTAATCTGAATCTATTATAACATTTAATTTTCTTCCAAAAGGCTATTATTGTTTAATTAGGTTGTTTCCAGTTACTTTCTTTATGAGGAACTTTTCAAGGATTATGAGAAGTGTGCTATTGATTATTCTTATACACAAATCCTTTTGGTGAATCTTTGATTTTTTCTTTACGATTGGTTCCTGCAAGGGAAATTGCTAGGTCAAAGTATACACATGCTTTAAGGCTCTTGATATTTAGTGCTAAGTTGTCCTCCAGAAATGTGCACTCTTGCCAGCAGTGAATGAGACTGCTAATTTCTCATACAGAAAAATTATTCCGTGGCTTCAGACCAGATTTCTACCTTGGCTCCCAGAATGAATGGAAGAACCTATCAGAAAATGTGGTGGGCGGGTGGGCTGATGAAAGGAGGGAGGGTGTGAGGGGAGGGACTGCTGGATGAAAGGGTGGATGTGTGACTCAGTGAACTCATTGTTGCTCTAGAAGAGCAACTCAGATCTGGTGGTGTTGTCGTTATATACAAAGAATAGCACTTAATTATATTTGAAGGCAGAACATAGTCTTCTTACTCAGCAAGCTCAAACAAGTTCCAGTTTACTCTAGATCAGAAGTTTCTAAAAATAAGCAAAAATAGAAAGCCCTATTCATGTTGAAGATATTCATCTGAAGAGTTTACCTTCAGTGAACTCTATAGAAAAGATCAGGAATTAATTTTTGGAATGAGGAATGAGGGGAGAGAACTAAATCTCAGGTCTCTACTGGAGTATGCCAGGGGAAGTAGAATGACACCCAGGAATGCTGGGGCAAAGCAATTTATACTTCTAGGTTAGGAGGTGCCTTTTCTTTTTATCTTCCAGGAAAAGGTGGGCCCAGGAAAAGAGGGTATTTCTAACTCTTAATGACCTTATTTAATGTACTCTGTCAACTCTTTTTCACATCACCTGCTTAATTTTTATTAGTTTTGTTGTTGTTAATCCTCATCCAAGGATATTTTTTCCATTGATTTTTAGAGAGAGTGAGAGGGATGCAGAGAGGGGGAGAGAGAGACAGACAAACAGAGATGCAGACAGGGACACAGACAGACATTGACGTGAGCAAGACACATAGATTGGTTGCTCACACATACGCCCCTACTGGGGCTGGGGATGGAACCTGCAACCCAGGCACATGCCCTTGACCAGGAATCAAACCCTTGACCATTTGGTGCTCGAGCCAACCCTCTAACCACTTAGCCATACCGGCCAAGGCTCACCTGCCTAATTTTTGTTTTAGTTTAGTAATCACTTTGTGCCCCCTTACAGTTTAATCTAGTGATGAGCAACCCATGATCTTATGTAGTTCCAGGATGAAGCTCATAATCTGATTTTAGAAAACCTGTCATCTGCCCAGAGAGGAACAAATTCAGTCCCAAATTCTTTCCTGACAACCACCTTCTCCTAGCCAGTTATAAGAAACAGGAAAATTGATTAATTAGATTTGTCTAGCAGGCTACTGTGAATTCCAATTGGCTTGGATTGGGAATTAAGATAAGAAGAGGAGCTTTATAACAGCTACATAGCCCTGACTGGTTAGCTCAGTTGGTTAGAGCATTGTCTCAATATGCCAAGGTTGCAGGTTCTATCCCCAGTCAGGGTATATACAAGAATCAACCAATGAATGCATAAATAAGTGGATGTTTCTCTCTCTCTCTCTCTCTCTCTCTCTCTCTCTCTCTCTCTCTCTCTCTCTCATCAATAAATAAAAAATTTAAAAAAAAACCAGCTACATAATATTTTATAGTATGGATATACCACAATTTAGACTATTTAATCAACCATTCCTCTGTGAATAAACCTTCACTTTTTTCTGTTTTTTCCTGACATGCAGTATTGCAATATAAATTTTGTCATACATATGCTAATATAAATATATGCATATTTTGTATGTATGTACATGCTAAGGTACTGGAACATTTATTTCTATAAGTTCGATATTTGCCAAAGTGGAATCACTGGGTCAAAGGCTGTTTATATTTTAACTTGCTTATATACTGACAGATTACTTCCTAAAATTGTGGGTGAGATTGTGCTTTTTGAACCCCTGCTATGTCTGTTGCCAAATAGAGAAAAGTATTTTTTGAAAATTGAGTTCTTCAAAGTGAATGGACTAAGAAAGTCCATCTTTTGTTATTATGTTGTTTGTCTTGATTGCAATTGGAGAAAATGTCTTAATTTAAGAAATGCAATAGTAATACATTTTCCTATCAATTACCTTATAAGAGTAGTCAAGGAATGACAAAATAAATCACCTTTAGAAGTATCTTGCTCAACCAAGTTTGCTGAAAGGTGCAGCATTATAACCAGTTACCTCAAGGGCATTCTAAATAAGTAGTTTCCAGAAATATCTTAACTTTTAATTTACCAATTTAAAAATTTTACTTTATGGGTCTTTCTTCCATAATATATCTTTTGGTTCTCTTCTGTATAATAAACAACCCCAGAACTTAATGGTTTAATTCCACAACTATTTATTTGTTCTGAATTCTATAATGTGGGTAAGGTTTGCTAGGGACAGCTCATCTCTGCTCCCATGGTGTCTGGGCTCAGCTGGTGGTCTTTTGCTGCATGTGGTGTAGCCTGGGCTCACCCAGCAGGTTGCATTCAGCTGGGGTCTTGACTGGGGTGCCTCAGTGCTCCTCCACATGGCTTCTGTCTGTGCCTGCATGTGAACACTCCCCATTTGGTTGTCTGGGCCAAACTTCTTTCAGCATGGTGAACGGTTTCCCAGAGAACAAAAGGAGAAGCTGCCAGGGCTGTTAAGAGCTAAACCTGGAACTGGCTTACTGTCTCTTCTGCCACATTCTACTGTCAAAGTAAGCCATAAAACCAGCCCAGGTCCAAGGAGAAGGGAAGTAGCTTCTAATTCTTGTTGAGAGAAACAGCATTGTGTTCAGGGATGGTGTGTTGGTAGCCACAGCTATACACTACCAAAAATAGTGCATGCTCACCACAAGCCTAACAATACAGAGGTGTGTAAAGAAAAATCTAGTCTTTCCAAAATACTAGTTACATTTACTATTTTCACCTCCCAAGGTAAATAATGATAATGGTTTGGTATATATTCTTTTATACCTTTCTCTGTGCTCATATAGATATATATAAAAGTATCTGAGCTCCTTACATGCCTTTTTTTTTCTCTTTTACAAAAACATAATCTTCATATATTATTACTATTACTAGAGGCCCAGTGCATGAAATTTGTGCACTCAAGGGGAGAGGGGTCCCTCAGCCCAGCCTGCGCCCTCAAGTCATCTGTCGGATATCCTTAGTGTTGCAGTTGCTGTGGAGGCGGGAAAGGCTCCTGCCACACCACTGCCACTATGCTCTCCAGCTGTGAGCCTGGCTTCTATCTGAGTGGTGCTCCCCCTGTGGGAGCACACTGACCACCAGGGGACAGCTCTTGCATTGAGTGTCTGCCCCCTGGTGGTCAGTGCGCATCATAGCAACCGGTTGTTCCGCCCTTCAGTCGATTTGCATATTAACCTTTTATTATATAGGATTACATATGATTACATGCTTTCATTGAAATCTAACTTTACCAAAGTATAATTTGCATAAAATGCTCCATTTTAAGTGTACATTTCAGTGAGTGTACATATAAATCCATGTAACCATCACTACAATCAAAATATAGAACATTTTCATCACCTCAAACGTTCCTTTGCTCAGATAATCTCCCATTCCACACTCCACCTCAGGAAACCACTGATGTGCTTCCTGTGACTGTAGATGAGATTTGTCTTTTCTAGTATTTTAGGTAAATGAAATCATCTAGTATATACCCTTTTGTATTTGACTCCTTTTGCTCAGCATAATGTTTTCGAGATTCATCCATGTTGTTGTGTAGATCAATTTTTCACTACTTTTTTATTGCTAAGTAGTACCTAGGAGTGGAATTGCTGGCTCGTATGTAGGTATATAAGAAACTGCCAAACTGCTTTCCAAACTAGTTGTACCATTTTACATTATGACCAGC